CGTCAGAATATTTTTTTCAATTAATTTTCAAATGAAAATCTATTGAAGGTAAAATTTGCAACACATGTAAAAATTACAACATTTATCAATTTGATACAAATTGCTAAGTTCAAATTTAAAATTTATATTTTTCCATTACATTTATATACATTTGTGCTCCTAACTTAATATCTTAGATTACAGTGGAGAATAAGAAGACTTTCAGGACAAAATTTGGAACATAAATATCCAAGTAAACTTTCACGTTAGTTACTATGTCAAATTTCCGTTCAAAATATTAACGAATGTTTGCTCAAAGAGTATTTTTGAAATGTTTATGAAATATTAATATATTAAACTTTTGAAATGATAGAGTTATTTTTGAAACTTACATATAATTTTTTTATAAAAGTACATGTATACCAAAAATATCTTTGATCAACGTAGGTGGTTTAAAATTTGCCCTTAATATTTCAAAATTTTCAATTTGACCGGTAATATTTTAATTTGTAAGAAGGAAACTATTTGTAGTAATTTTGTCTAACTAATAAAGTTGGGGTGAAATCGAAACTTCATATTATATTAAAACTAACTACATATGCTATGAGAATTTTGTATAATTTAGTTGGTTTCATATTTGTCCAAGTTTAGTTCTACTTCATTAGTTGCATATTCGTCGTTAACATACGAGGATTTGGACCTACCATCTTTAAATAGAGTTGTAATAGAGTTACAACGAGCATATATGATATACAATCCATATTCAATTTCTTATGTTTGAAATTTAATGAATTTTTATTGGGGGGAGTTATCTCAATAAATTTTAGATTATGTGAGTTTAAAAGATGAAATTTTAAGAACGGTATTTTCATCCGCGTTTTCAATATTATCATTTTTTTAACTTTAAAATTGAAAACATGGAATCAATAGTTTCGAGGCAGAGAGCAAAGAGAGGCCAAAAGATAATACCAAATACAATTTCAACACGTCTTTAAATCGAGATCTAATTTCTAAATATTTTATCTTAAACATGATTAAATCACCAATAAACTTAAAAACTTATATCTTAAACATGATTAAATCACCAATGAACCTAAAAGTTTAAGCTGATGGGTTAAGAACACTTCCTCTCACTCGTGGACTTGAAAAATTGCACGATATCCTACAAATAAAAATAAATATATAAATGAAGAGGAAATAACAGCGGACATTCGAACATAGAATCTCCTACTCTGATACTATTTTAAACATGACTAAATCAGTCGTGAACAAGAAAGCTCAGTGAAAATGTAGAATATAAAATTTGCTTTTCATTAAATTTCTTAATTTTGTGGTATAACCCTTTTGTTTGTTTTGTTGGGTTTGATTAGAAACATTCAAAGGGCACTGTTAGGTCAAAAGATTACAACATTTATTTGATTTTTTTTTAGCAAAGGTACATTTATTTGATATTAACCCACTTGGTTTGATTGCCTATTGTATTGGAAATATTCCAAAATGGTTTCATTAAATTTCTTACTAGATTTCAAAATGGGGTTAAATATATAACTTAATTCTTAATATGTGAATTCTTTTTTTCACTTTTGTCCCTTTTTTTAGTTTTAATTTTTTTTTATTTTATGTATGGACTATTTTGATCCTGTTTTTCTTTCCACGCAACGTTAAAATAGATTGATAAAATAATAATGTAATGTAAGCATGCACCTTATTAATTCAATTCATAATACTCACTCTCATAAAAAGAGCGAAAAAAAACACTTACTAATTTCGTAGGATTTAAGACGTAAGAACTTAATGGTTCAATCCCCACCCTTGCAATAGAATTAAAAAGAAAATGTAGCATCTTTAAGCTCAAAATTGTTTGTTGTAAATTGTGATAGACCAATTAAAATGTAAGTAGACTCTTCTTCACAAAAAAAAAAAAGAAAAAAAAAGAATCAAACAAACAAATGTAAGTAGACTAACAATTGACATCTTCGTAAAAATTACCATTTTCAAATTCTTATATTGTCATTGTTTGAACATTTTTGCTACTGTAAAAATATATTAATCGTCAAAGTGAACATAGCTCAGCGATAATTGGCATATCTCCAACYAAGAGATTATAAATTCTATCCCACTCCAAATGTTGTACTAAAAAAACATATTGATAAAAAAAATCAATACATAACGGAAGAAATTGAAACTATAAAAAGATTAGATATCAAGTTAGAACATATTTCTACCTCCCGACCCCACTTTGTTGACGTCCTAAATTACAAATTTTTATTTTTTTATTTAATAATAAGTTCAAATATACAGAATACAGTTGAAATTTAGGGTATGTTTAAGTTATGCCATGAACTTATAAAAGTTTGAGTTTTATCCAATTAACTTTTAAAATTTGTTTCAAAACAAACTTCCATCAACTTTTTCGTTAGAATGAAGATAAGATTGTGGCGACAATGAATTGTAAAATAGTGGTACATATATGTGGCAAATTTCAATTAAGTCTTTCAATTTTCAAAAGTTTCATTTTAATCCTTAACCTTTAAAATTATTTTAAAATAAACCATTTCATCAATTAACTTCTCCGTTAAAGAGAAAACGAAAGTATGACGTCGAGCTCATAGTTTTCACCTAGAATAGTGAGTGGACAAGAAAATCAAATGGTTTTAGTCACATGTTGAAAATGGTGTTAGTCAGAGGAAGAAGCAGATTTTGGAGTTAGAATTTTAGTCGATACGGGAGGGAAGACAAATTTGGTAGTTAGAGTTTTTGCTGCATTGGTTTTATTTTTATTTTTATTTTTTTAAAAATGCTAGTAAACTAGCCGTTAGAGTTAGTTAGTTAGTTAATTAGTTGGGTGTTAGCTATTTAGTTGGTTAATTAGTTGAGTGTTAGTTACTTTGGCCTATTATTGAATACATCAGTTTTAGTCACACTAAAAAAGTTGGAAAAGTCGTTAAAGGATCAGGGTGCGCCCTTTTTTTCATATATATATTTTGGAGTTCGATAATAATACTAGGAGATTGAATCATCAACCACGTTAGAAATGATAATAATTGTCTCATCCAATAAATTATACTCGAATTGGTAATGAATAGGGTCATGAGATAAAAGCACATTGTTGGATGATCAACATGTTATTCATGAGAGAGAAATGGTGAAGAGTGAGGTCCATGGAAGCTAAGTGAACAACCAAGAAAACGATGAATTGATGAAGGAAGACAATTATCATCTTCAAATGTAAGAATTTTATCGACCTCTCTGGGTTCGATTGTCTTGGGTTATTTTGTTTGTCTTTTCCTATTTCCATTAATGCCCTACACCCTACATTTTGTCAATTGATCGTGAAAAAGAAGCCCAAGTTTTGTTTACCTTCTACGGTTTACTTACCCTCTCGTATAGCAGAAATTGTTTACAGTAAGTGTGCAGGTCAAGTTTTAATATAGTGGTAAATGAATAATACAAAAATGGTTCTTTGGATTGAGTTTCTAGCTCACTTGAGTATCATAGATACAATCACTCAATTTTATTTGGAGGATGAAATCAATATAAGTGAATAAGTCCGCGTAAATAAATGAACAAAAATAAGGAGAAAATCGTAAGAAGAAAGTCTTGAGCAGGAGTTAATTCTCCTTACTAATTAAGAAACTAATTAATATTCCTATCTAGTTTCAATAACCAACAAATATTTAAATGAATAAGTCTTTTAATGACATTTAAATGACTTTTAGATCTTGTGATCTTAAAACTTCTTTAGTTACAATTACACACTAATTAGTAATTATAAATAATAAATTGAATTTATCAATGTGTAATATAACTTTTAATAGATTTAAAGTTCATACTAATTTTATTATCATAATATAAAATAAAGTAAGAAAATACAACAGGCACATACTAATAAGCTAGTATCTATAAAAGGAATTGTGTTAGTGTCAATATCCTAAGTGAACGTCATGACGTTGTCCTCATGAGGCAATGATCAGTTCGGAGCGTCATGGCTGCAACTCTACCCTCTCAGCTTGTAGCTACCTACTGTGTGTAGGTGTCATGGTGCTTCCACTTCGACATTTTGCATTTTTTTTGTGCTACAAGTATCGAGGCACCAATAATTGGTATGCGCACTATATATATTTTCAGGGAGTTACTCATTCTAGTTTATATATTATATACATAACTTTCTAAACAATATTTTATTTTGTTACCAATCATATATATTTGTAATATCTATCTCAACCATTTAAGTTAATTTCAAAAAGATAGGTATATATGTTCTTTTATGCCTTATTTTGCTATTTAGTCAAGTTTATTTGTTTGTATTTTGGGTAGGTATGTTAAATAAATGAAAATAAGAGGTTTAAATATATATTTGTAAAGAAGTTTTAGTTTAAATAATATGTATAGAAATGTAAGGTTGAGGTGAACAAATTGGACATACTCATGGAGAAATGAGATAAAGAAGCCGAAAATTTTAAACACACGTGATCTATCCTCTTCATGAATTAGCATGGAAAGAAGATAGAAGATGAGAATGTTTCTTTTGGAACAATAAGATGGGAATTGCGATCTTGTGAGGACAGCCGTCAAAAGTAGTAGGATTTCATTTCGAAATAAACCATACTTAGATGTTTACGGTGGATTAAGATAGTCATGCTACAAGTTGCACTATGAGCTTCCTACAAAGGAAGGTCTTTTCCAATTAATATGTTCTAAAGAATATTGAAGTGAAACGACAAATGAATCTTTCTGAGACTCCATTTATCCTCGTATTGACCATCAATAAGAAAAAAATGACAATTTTTTAGTTTTATTAAGGATAGAAAGATATATCTTTTTATGCGTTTGTCTTTTTTGTGCAAGATCTGAAGTATTTTTCATTCAAAAAATTAGTTCTTATTTTGAAACATGGTTGTTTAGCTTGAAGGGTATATTAGTAAACTACAATGTATTATGAATTTAATATTCTTGTCAATGCAAATATCCCAGCCCAGCCCAGTTTACTTTATTTTAAAAACAAAAAACAAAAGGAAAAAAAAAAAAAAGAAAAAAAGAGAAACATTTGGTCGCCGCCGCTCCTCTCTTTGGACGCCGCCGCCTGCCGCTGCTTCCTCCTCTCCGTCCCTCTTCAGCACCGTCGCACTCAGGGAGAAGGAAGTGGTAGAATACTAAAAAAAAGGAAGACGGTTTAACTTTGGAAAAGCTGCCGGAAGTTCTCTGCCTCACCCGTCGGACGTCGCCGCCGGCTTCAGCTCCGGTTAGTGGGTCTATAATTGAACACCGATGGTGGGTTTTCTTGTATCACAGTTCAAGACTTGTTTTGAGATGTGAAAGTGATGGGAAAAATTGGGTCGGGGTTTAAAGGGGGTTTTGGGTGGGTTTAAGTTTTAGCTGTGGGGTTTTACAATTAGTTTGAGGGTCGTTGCATCAGTAAAATATAAGAACGATTAGAATTAATATGAATCCATTTCCAAAAGGAGATTTGATATGAATTTGATATTTGGCTTGGCTGTCTATTATATCTATGAATAATTAGAATGCCTGGTTCAGTTTTAACATTTATGCATGCTTCTTATAAGTCTTTATTCTTCTAATTCTTTTGACGATTTGTTTGATTCCATTTATGTATTTTTTCAGGGACTTGGTATTGTTGGTGGTGGTATTTGGTTCTCAATCTTGAGGCATATAATCTATTGACCAATTGGCCAATGTTTTCTAGATCTATGCTGCAACTGAGGGATAAACCATGTTATTGGTTCTTGCTTACCATGACACTGCAAATACAGCACATGAATATTGTGTATGTCATCTTCCTCTTCTCAATATATCTTCAGAGGTCTCTCTCTATATAAGCTCCAAACATTCATACCTAAACAATGGAAAAACAAACCTGTGAGCAATGGTAGTGAATTTATGATTGGTCCCGTTTTTTCTTCCCTTAAAAGCTTTGCCTGTCATGGTCAGTTGTCTAAAGCATTTGAAGCTTTCTCCCTCATTCAATTGCGCACTGGATATAATGATTCATTTGACCTCATCTTGCAATCCTTCTCCATTCTTCTTGTATCATGCACCAATGCTAGCTCACTCCCACCTGGTAGGCAACTTCATGGTCGCATTATCTTGTCAGGTCTTGAGCAAGACTCGATTTTGGTTCCTAAGCTCGTCACATTCTACTCGAGCTTTAAACTTCTGGCCGAGGCTCATACCCTTGTTGAGAATTCTAATATTTTTCACCCTTGTCCTTGGAATCTACTCATCACATCATATGTCAGAAATGGACTTCATGAGGCAGCCATTTTAGTTTATAAACAGATGCTGAGTAGAGGAATCAGACCAGATAATTTCACTTTTCCCTCCATTTTGAAGGCTTGTGGTGAAACACAGAATTTGGGTTTTGGTTTAGAGGTCCACAAGTATATTAATGCTTGGTCAACTGAATGGAGTTTGTTTGTTCAGAATGCTCTAATTTCTATGTATGGAAGATGTGGAGAGGTGGACACTGCACGTAACTTGTTTGACAATATGCTCGATCGAGATGCAGTTTCGTGGAATTCGATGATCTCTTGTTATGCCTCCAAGGGCATGTGGAAGGAGGCATTTGAACTGTTCGACAATATGCAGAGTAAGTGTATCGAAATTAACATTGTGACTTGGAACATTATTGCGGGAGGTTGCTTGCGGGTCGGTAATTTTGTTGGGGCACTTAAGTTATTGTCTCAAATGAGAAATTTTGGTGCTCATTTGGACTATGTAGCAATGATAATAGGTTTGGGTGCTTGTTCTCACATTGGTGCCATTAGATTGGGAAAAGAAATCCATGGCTTTACCATCAGACATTGTTATCATAGGTTATCCATTGTTCAAAATGCATTAGTTACCATGTATGCTCGTTGTAAAGACATTATGAATGCATATATTTTGTTTCGATTAAACAGCGACAAAAGTATAATCACGTGGAACTCCATGCTTTCTGGTTACACGCACCTGGACCGGGTTGAGGAAGCCTTGTTTCTATTTAGAGAATTGTTACTATCTGGGGTAGAACCAAATTATGTGACAATTGCTAGCATTCTTCCTCTTTGTGCTCGAGTTGCGGATTTACAACACGGGAGAGAATTTCATTGCTATATTACTAAACGTGAAGATTTAGGGGATTACTTGCTATTGTGGAATGCTTTAGTGGATATGTACGCAAGATCAGGCAAGGTTTTAGAGGCAAAAAGAGTGTTCGATTCGTTAAGCAAGAAGGACGAAGTGACGTATACTTCCTTGATTGCAGGCTATGGGATGCAAGGAGAGGGGAGCAAAGCACTAAGACTATTTCAAGAGATGAAAAGATTTCAGATCAAACCAGATCATATAACCATGGTTGCTGTCCTATCAGCTTGTAGTCATTCAGGACTTTTGAAACAAGGTGAACTTTTATTTGCAGAGATGCAAAGTGTCCATGGTTTAAGTCCCCATCTGGAACACTATGCTTGTATGGCAGACCTTTTTGGGAGGGTTGGTCTGTTGAATAAAGCAAAGGGGATTATCACAAGAATGCCTTATAGACCAACGTCCGCTATGTGGGCCACTCTTATAGGAGCATGTTGCATCCACGGAAACACGAATATTGGGGAATGGGCTGCAGAGAAACTTCTCGAAATGCAACCTGAACATTCGGGTTACTATGTCTTGATTGCTAACATGTATGCTGCTGCAGGTTCTTGGAGTAAGCTGGCAAAAATAAGGACTCTTATGAGAGATTCTGGTGTGGCAAAAGCTCCTGGTTGTTCCTGGGTTGATGTTGGCTCGGGATTCGTCTCGTTCTTGGTTGGGGACACTTCTAATCCACAAGCTCTTGAAGCTAATCTCTTGTTAGACAATTTGAACAATGTAATGAAACATGGTAGTCTAGTGACAAAAGATTCTCACGATATCGACAATGACAGTTTTTGAGGAACAAGAAATGAAAATTTGAAATAAGTTATTTCTGATACTATAACTATACGTTTTTGGTTTTAGCTCTTGTTTGTGCATCAGAAAAACATGTAACCGTACCTACCATCACATTGCTACTTTACTTAACACTTAACAGAGTTAGTTCACTTCCACTTGAATTTTTCTTTTTCCTTTTCAATGAAGCATGATCTAGACTTTTAGTTTAGTTCTTGTCGTAGCAGCCGAGCGTGATGTGCTACGCCAGCCGATCGGGTACGTTCTTTTTGTCCTATACTCATTACTTTTCATTACATTTATTACTAATTCTTTGGTAACATCTTTGCTATTCAATCCAGTATTTGAAATTGAGAGCTCTTCAACGACAGTCCTATACTCATTACTTTTATGAAGCTACATTGGAGCCGGTCTACCAATATTAGCACCCTACGCGGTTTGCTTGAAACTGGAGACAAAATATTGCGTATTGAAGGCATCTTCAGGTTCTGATATATTTATTACTTGTTTTTTTCTCTTTGATTGAAGTTTTACTTTATATTTGCTTCACCTAAAATAGTTTCCCCCATAAAGCTAGGCTGCTAGGGTGTAAGATTATGTCATCTCGCCCAAATCCCATGGCATTGTACACTCAATATGTTCATATACACTCTGCACTTTTAAAAAATCTATGCATATAGCGACATGTATACATAATGCGTGTTAAAAACATCCTGTCCACTCTTCTCTCCATTCTCCTAAAATATCCAACCAGAATCTTCCTATGGACTTGAGAGCTTTTAGAGGGGAGGTGTAGCAATAGTATCAATGTTTAAAAGGCTTTTGAGGCTTACGCCTCGAGACTCGCCTCGAGACAAGGCTCTAACTTTTAGCCTCGAGACTTACGCCTTCTTTGAACCAGAAGAGGCTTATGCCTCTCATAGGAGAGGCTTACACCTTTGAAGACAGACTGAGGCTTAAAAGTCTTTATGCTTCATGTAATGATTAGAATGATATTATTTATTATCCAATTCTTACATGATATAAAGGTTTCTTTTCTTTGCATATGGAATGCATTATAGGAGTGTAACAATTTAATCTATTATTACCTTTACTCCCTAGACTCTAAAAACATTGGAGACAAATTTTATAGAATAAGCCAATCGTATTGATATTAGTAGTGATATTGAGGATGTTCTTTTAGGATTTTTATTTAAGTGGCAATTCTATACTTTTATATAACTATTATGTTTAGTACATGATCATACAAATTTTAGATTTGTATAATTTGTTTAATTCGTACCGCCTCAAGGCTTACGCCTCGCCTCTTCGAGAGGAAAAGTCTCAAGGCTGCATTTAGCCTTTTAAAACATTGAATAGTAGATTGTAGATTTATTTCAAGGTATTTTATTTTTTAAAAAGACTGTTTGCACGCACCCGAAACTTTTATTGCACCTACTAATCTTTGGAGTAAATTAAAGGTACTTGGAAGTTTGAAATTCTTGGATAACCCTCCTACTTGAATGCCACTTCATCTCATGGAAAACCAGGTCTCATCTTTACCAGAAGATGGATTTCTATCTAATGAAACACGACCTTTAAATTAATGGGAAACAATATCTTGAAAAAGTAGGACCAAGTAGAATGTTAATACTAGTGACCTTTCTGGAGGGGTGAAGCTTTGACGGGAGAAAGTATATGTGTGTGTCTTTTAAAGACCCTTTTATCTCCGGAGGGGTAAATCTTCCTGTAACAAGGTCCCACACCAGACTTAATTACTATAAAGGTCGGAGTGAAGGGGAAAATGGTGGTTATTTTATTTTATTTTATTTTTGTGATGTGGGCCCATTTTAATTGCTCGTCTAATAAATTATGCATATAAGGTAAACTGTGGTCGTAAATAGTTGAGGTGCTCCCAAACTGACTCAGACACTCATGAATTTATTAAAAGAAAAAAAAAACATCATTCTAAAGTTGGGTGTGTCAGGATAAAGCTAAATTTCAATCAATAAATTAGGATTCACATTCTCCTATTTCAAGAGCATTATAAGTAGATGAAGCAATACAAACTGTGGTTTGTTCAATATGCTTCACATCTACTTTATGCCGCTGCTGTAAATGTCTCTATGATAGAAAGAAATAACAAGAGCATGAAAATGCCACAAAATTACTTTATTTCTCTCTCATGGTTGCTTTCCCTTGACAATTAAAGCAACTAAAGTATACCTGTGAATAAGTCTAAAACGCCCTCTTAATAAACCCTTACATGTTCAACTTTTTCTAGAAGGTGCTACCACCTATCTTCAACCCTCAGGCAGGGTGATAATAAGGCTCCTTTCATTGCAAAAAGTAATGTTGTTCTCCTTACGAATTTTTAACATTCTTTGCTTTTATGTTATTTTCTACTGCAGTGGGACGTCGAATTATATCTCAACAACTTTATGGGTAGTAAGTTTTTTAGTGACATAGTCTCTAAAGCAAACCAATCAGAAGGATCTTCTTCGGGTTGAGTTGTCGGCACCCATGCTTTGGCTACTCCTGAGAGAGTCGTGATGCACTTTAGAGTATTGTTGTATGCGTTAAGGTTCATCTAAGATCAGTAAAGCTCCATGTGGTCCATAGAGCTGGTGGTCCTGTTGTACTCCTTAATCGTGGGGATTCTGAACTTTGGTGGGAGCTCCACAACCATAACCTCCACCGTAAAGGGGAGCTTGTCCTGCTTCAGATATGTTTGTGAAGTTCTTGCCTTTTTGCATGGAGACCAATTACCTCATTGTTGGTTTGGCAACGAGCGATAAACACTCGTTGGGTCCCTCTTGTCACTCTAGTTGGTTGGGTGCGTTTGTTGCGGGGCTCCTCCAGATGAAGCTGTATCACCAGACCTGGGTCATCCCCGCTAGAAGCATTCACTCTGCGTCTTTCTTCAGTGCTTCGCCCATTGGCAGAATTGTCGGAGCATTCTTTTCTCATTTGTAATCATAGGTGTTGAATGTGCAGAGCTTACTGACTTTAAACTCTTTCCAAAAGATGGTGCCAATTGTTGATTCCAATTTTTGGGTAGGTGCCACTCTCTTAGCTCGAGTTTTACATCGCATAGAAATCTAGCACTGGTATGTTGCTCAACTTATTGTACTATGATGCCTAAATTAGTACCCAAGGTAGGAGCAAACGACCCAGTGTGAAGCATCTAACATAATCACAAGGATTCGAGTGAAAATTTGTGCAGGAGTGTGTGTAAAGACTTCTAGTACGAATTTGTGCAAGAATTTTTGCCCACCTTGATTCAGGTTGAGGACCATCGACACTCTAATGATCCTCTCTTGTGCAGTAGTGAGGCACGACGACGTCCAGGAAGATATCCTGGCTCGTGCCAGGATTTGCTGCAGGGTGTTAGTGCCTCTCTCGTTTGCTGTCGTACATACGGATCATTTAGGTGTGTCCCACATTTTGATCTGACTAATAACTTTATGTTAATAAAATTTAACCGAGGATATAATGTATATTTAACCGAAATATTATTGTTATGATTTGACTCGGACCAAGTTGCTTGTAGGTGTTTGTTTAGCAAGATAACGTTGTTGTTGAAGTACAATGTATGACCAGGTGATTTGTAAAACATGGCCTATCTAGTTAAATGAATGTGCTTGAATAATTGAGCAATGAATGTACTTATTAAAGTAGAATGCATGGCCATGTGATTTGTAACATTTCTTCGATATTTTGTTTCTATTTTTTAAAAGATATAAACGTTTCGTAATTGTTTTTATTTCTTATTTTTTATTTTTAAGAAATACGGTAAAAAAATGTGCACGGATTTTTTTAGAAACAATAAAAAAATACTTTCTTTTTCTCATTTTCAATCTTTTAAATACACAAATAAAAATGTTATTTTATTATTTTTTACTTAAAAAAGCAAAATAAATATCAACAAGATTATATGTAACATAAAACCTTTAATGTTTTATTTAAAAATTAATTTTTAGGTAAAACTTTTTTTTTATTTTAATATTCCAGATAACAAGAAATAAGAAAGGGTTATATATGTTTGTTTTCTAATTAAAAAAAATAACTAAAAAATAAATAAATAGTTGTCAAATATAATTTTGGTTTTTTTTTTCAGGTGAAAAAAGAAAAAACAAGAAATCAGATTATCAAATAAGTCCATATTTTATAGTTTCTTATAGTTTCTTGTTCCTTCACATTTCCAATTTTTCAAAACATAAATAAAAGACATTGTTTCAACATATTTAACTTATTAAATGCATAGTAAGTATTAAAAATTAAATTTGTTTGGGGTAAAAATACCTAGGACACGTGGAGGACACTTATTGGTGTTTCAAGAATTGAATAAAAAGACTTGCCCAGGTCCACCTCGGCCCCATCGAGGAGACTGGGTTCGCCCATTACAAAAGGCTAAGTATAGACGCCGAGGTTCGACCTGACTGAGGCTCGATCTGCTCGAAACCCGACAGGTTCGACATGAGAAAAGACATATAACCGCCGGTCGTGAGTACTGTCGGATCCACCACCTATAAATAGAGGGACTCATTTCATGCTCAGGTATTGAATCTCACCTCGAACTAAACACGGTGTCCGATCTATACTAACTTGAGCATCGGAGAGTTTACCCTCTTGTGCAGGTTCACTCTTGGGTTCAAGTCGAGCCAAGGATCGGGTTCGAGCTAGGTTCATAGAACAGTGTTGTGCAACTCTTTGCATAAACATTTTGGCGCCGTCTGTGGGGATCGACATCTTAAGTCGTCCCGATCTAGGAAGCCTACGCAAAGATGGTGCAGCCAGCAAACTCTGCTAATACGACGGAACGGAGGGGTTTGAACGCTGATAACGGCACTCAGTGAGACCTTGACGCTAGAATAGTCGAGGACCAGGTCCGAGCAGGACAAGAGGGAGATCTGCCACGAAGATCTACCCGCCATGCGAACCAGGAGTTACCCCCTGCTCACCCGAAACCCTCAAAAGCCAACCGAGG